ACTACATGTTCCATAAGTACGGGACTGACTGCCACAGAGCAGCTGACACAGATACTACTTAAGACACAATACCCTGTGGTGGCCACACACTTATTGCTATCGTGTCTACATAAGCACTGTGCTTTGTTGGTTAACCTTGATTGGAATGTCTTTTGGAGCTGCCAAGAGATGGAGCGATGGTCTGTCCACTCAGAGAACCTGTGTCACAATGTAACCAACAATTCTCCATCTTGTCAAGACTATCTCTTCATCTTACATGTTCTGTTTAAATGCGACTCTGAAAGACACACAAGAAAGAAACCAAGCAGTCACAACTGTCCACATGAGAGCAAAGGATAGCAGTTGAGTTTAAATGAGCCATCACCGACAGCAGAGTGCTCTACTCTGTCCTCACCAATATGGCCATCACGAAGAACAAAGAATTTACAAAAGATTGGCTGAGATAGGACTCTGACACAGTCTCAGGCAGGATTTGAATGAAGCATCACACCTGCATGCCAGGGCAGCACTCTTTGTGCAGTGATAGAGCATACAGCTCCCGCGCTCATTTAGCTGACACTATAGCGAACAAGAATGCTGTAGGCCATTTTAGCTCCACTGTTTCAAGGAGTTTGAATGGCTCACGCTGGAAGGCCATCAGCATCATTTTTACATCTCATGGAGGGAGAGCCAGTTGCTTTTGATGGGGAGGCACCCTACTACCTCCATGAAGAACTGAGCAATGAGGGGACAACAAGTCAGTCTAGCAGTTTCTGGGGATTGACACATGCTGTCTTTTTTTGGCTGCTACCATTATTTCAGAGCTGAGGTGGACCTGCGCTCCTCCAACAGTTCATGCTAAAATTGGAAAATGGGATGGGCTGTGAAGGTGAGGGAATCCACTTGTTTCTCATTGCAACATGAATATGTTTATAAATGAATATGTTGCTTTGGTAGATGGAGCTACTAACCAATAACTGAAGCAAGATCATGACTAGTAGAGACGCTGTCTCAGGAGCCAGGCCCACAGCTGGAAGAGATGGAGAGGCATCCAATGGGCTCCCAAGGGTGACCTTGAAGAAACGATCAAATGGTGTTCTGCTAGTTGGGAGCCACTAAGATAATGGTCACCTCTTCCACTTGGAACCTCAGCAGGTGAGGGTGAAGGAGAGTAACGGAGGGAAAGGCATAAAGGGAGGCCATCGCATCCATGCCTGATCGATTGATTATCTCTCCATATGGAGAGAAAGATGGGACGCTGAGTTATCTCCCTAGACACAAAAAGATCTGCCACAGCCATGCCAAAATATCCCTAGACCTCCACCAGCTGATCTGCTGTGAGGTTGGCCAGGCGTTGCGCAGTGCATTGCCTTCGGGGACCAGAACTGTGGGTACATCCACTCCCGTGCATTCTGAGCCAGCTTGCTGAGGACCTGATGGCCTTCTTTACCATGAGAATAAATATTGTTACTGCCAGAAACTTAACTGTTTTGGGATCCCAGGACAGCTTGGGGTCAAGATCAATGCCGAGACAGGCTCATAATCAAGGTTGGACAGTGTTGACTCAAGGTTTCAGGGTCAATTTGAAGCCCACCTGGTGAGGTAAATCTCAAAGGCCCTAGAAAGCCCAGAAACCCACTCCCTGTTTCTGACAACTGTCAGAAAGTGGATACGCTGGGAGATCCACTTGCCATTTCCCAGGGTATCTGGGGTCATTAGGGTCTCCTGGGGCAGTCTCTTCTTTGGTGCTTTTCTACTTTAACTTAACTAAAGTTAAAATGTTGAGATCTGTGGAATGTGAGATATAGATTAAGATGGTTTGCTATACGAAATCCTATGAAGCAAACAATTTTCATACATTCAGAGACAAATTTTGTCAGAGTATTTGTGAGTCTCACTAACATGCTCTACATGTACCTCCACGTAAACTGTCAATTTTATGTGCGCATTAATTAGGAATATCTTGTATGGATACGTGGATGTAATTGTGCCTATTAAAGGCTGTAAAGCCCGAACTATGTAATATTTGCCCGAAAATTCCAATATTCTGATCATTTTAAATAACAAACAAAAATTAAAAATAATATATCATTTCGGGATTTTAATTTTCTTGAGTTTTGTTTGTTAAAACCAGCATTTTTGTGCAACGTATTGCTTAAAAAAGGGAGATTTTTCAGCAATGAGCAATAAAAGTAATTTATATCATTTGAAAATGTGTTAAGAGTTCATTTTGTGAGTAGTAGTATTAATCTTTTCTGCTGTAGAATGAAAAGCTAAAAAACTTTGTATCTTAAAATCATGAAATGTATTTTAACTGCTGGTAAAATTTGGCCCTGGCAGTTTTAGCTATACAGCAACTCCTGGTGGCTCGTATGTTAGAAAAAGAGAAAAAAATACAACAAAAAAGTTATTATTTTTTATACTTATGTTGCTCCATTCCTGTTTTTCACCCTTTCTACTGAAAAAAGGGGAAAATAAATCTGTAAAATCTGTAACATTGTAATGTTTTTTTCTGTGTATTTTATGCTTTGGTTTTATTAGTTTGTTTTTGTATAATGCATCTTTTTATTTATGTGCTTTTATTTTGAAGGTTTCTCACTTTTTTGCTTGCTTAAGATTTTGCCTACTTTGTCAACTGATGGCTGTGGAGTTTTCACAAATAATTGTATACCTTTATTATACTATATACTCATTTTCTTTTACTTTTAATTCCTTTTTAAAAAATATTTTTATTGTAAATAAGCTAATTTTAATCAAAATAATTTACTTTTCTTTTGCTGGCCACACGTGCTGCTCTCTACCTGGTCAGAATGAGTTTTACCTTCCCCCAGGTCAGCACACTGTGTGAGTTAGTACAAGTCATATGGGAGGAACTTTGGCAGAAGATGCACAAATAATAAAACCATTGAACAAATGATTTGATTTTTTTCGCCGAAGGGGCTAAGACTTGTGGAGGGGGACTCTCTGTTTACATCAATGATGCCTGGTGTCGTGACGCTGTTGTGGCTTGCAAACACCGTTCACCTCTGCTGGAGCTTACGATCATCGAGTGCAGACCGTTCTACTTACCGAGGGAATTTTCGGCCATACTGTTTGTTGCTGTCTACATCCCTCCCTGCTCCAATAACAACAACAGGAGTGAGGCACTGATTGAACTGTATCAGCATGTCAGTGAGCAGCAGACGGCCCACTTAGATGCTTTTCTCGTCCTAGCGGGTGATTTCGATCGTGCAGACCCAAAGACTGTGCTTCCCAAACTGCACAAAAACATTAAATTTCCTACACAGGGAAACAACATTCTGGGCAATGTTTTCACCACCCAGAGAGGAGATTACAAAGCTCTCTCCCTGTCCCAGAATTTCGAGAAGACTAAGGAGATCATCATAGATTAAGGAGAACTCACACCCTGCACACCCCACTAACCATCAACGGTGCTGCTGTGGCGAGGGTAAGCAGCACTAAGTTCCTGAGTGTGCACATCTCAGAAGATCTCTCCTGGTCAAAAACAGCATCTGTGGCCAGAAAAGCCCAACAGTGACTTCCTCTGCAAACTGAGGAGAGCAAAAACCTTATGAGCAACTTCTACAGAGGCACTTCTTCTCCCTTCCTTCAGAACATCTATTACACCTGCCTCATCCGAAAAGCCCTCTGCATTATAGGTGACTCCACTCATCTGTTTCAGTTTGCTGCCATCAGGAAAGAGCCTGAAGAGCCTCTGAGCTAGACCCAGCAGACTGAGAGACAGTCACTCAAACACTTGGATTGTGTTGGACATTTTTGTTTTAATCTGTTTATGTTGTTGTTGTGTGAATGTAAAATTGAGGGCAGTGTGAGCACTGCAATTTCTTATTCCTGTTTATGATCTGTATGGTTTTTGACAATAAAGCAGACTTTGACGTGACTTTGGTCATCTGGAGAGGCGTAACAGGATATAATGCAAAACTACAAAGTGCAACCTATTTATTGCACTTGTTGCTATGCAGGCTCAAAAAGCATCACAGTAAAACTGGCACTACGTAAGCACTGGCAGTACACTTTTGGTGGAAATTGGGGGAAAAGGTACTTGACATATTTTTCAATACAGCTGAGTTTTGTCTGGTGCTCTTTATAGTTGCAACGTGTTTGAGGCTAGATGCTTGCTTAAAAGTTCCAGTCAAACAATACAGTCTTGTCTCTCAACTGATTAAAATGAGAGGAGGGAGGAGATAGCTCAGTAGGTAGCGTGTTCGCCCCATGATCGAAAGGTCAGGGGGTCAAATCCACTGAACGGTTACCCTGAGGTACCCCTGAGCAAGGTATTGTCCCTACAGACTGCCCACTGCTTCACTGGGTGAATGGGTTAAATGCAGAGAGGAATTTCCCTACAGGGGATTAATAAAGTATACATTATTATTAATAGAAGCTATTTATGAACTAAATACTACAGATATAAACAGTGAAAATGGTGACAGCACAAGAAGGATGGGATTGTGCAACATGGAAATGAAAAGCAGCACTGGGAAATGTGTGCTAGTGGGTGTGGCTGTTGATGAAGTGGGTCATGCGGCTTAGTAAACTGTAAAAACAGGGACATAAACTGCTCATAGTATTCCCATTTCCTGGGGGTTGTCACAACAAAACCTTCTGAAAGTTTTAGGGTATTGCAATAGAAAATATTCTGTAGTTTTTCTGGAGATCATTTGAGATGATGGTTAAAGTCTAGCTTGGATCCATGGTGACAGCAGAATTCCTCACGTTTCTTATCTCCTTGTCCCCATTGGGCCTAAGTGAATAAATGCAAAAAGACCAACCCTTATCTTACTGCATTAGGCACTGTCATCACAGTGTAAGTTTCCGCAAACTAGAAACAATCATTTTCTTACAAATGTGGGGAAGAAAGTTAGCGTACTTTGTTCCATTTATTTTAAAATTGATTGATGTATTTGTCTTTGTCATGAGACTACTCTTTGTGACATGTGTTTGTTGTAATAAACTATCACAATTTGAATTAAAAAACAAAAAACATCAAATGTATTTCTTACCTTTTCAAGTTGTGCGTTCTGTTTGGACTTGTAGAGGAACTCTCCCATGGCCACAAAGACGGAGAGAACAAGTCCAGCTGCCAGGATGATGAAGATCCCACCGATGTTCTGCACCCCAAGGGCACTGGCCTCCTTACTTTCCTCCTCTGGACAACCATTTCCTCTCCACCACTTCTCCTTCATCATGTGTAGCTTCCCTTCCTCTTGAAGCTGCAGAATGGCAATAGTGATCTTATCTCTGTACGGAGAGCCTAAAGGACCAAAACACATAAGGTCAGTGTAAGCAGCTGACGCAGCTAACTAAATCCCATAGACCACCACTGTCCCTTTCACTGAGCTTCTGGCTCCTTTATGACAGAAAGCTGCTCTCTCCCTCCCTTCCTGTCCAAGGTTTCCCCACACCTGATTGCCACAGCTGAACAGCATTCAGACTGTTTCATATATTGCTCCAGCACCAAACACCCCTTGGCATTTGGCCAGTGGGCTGAGAAGTGTTTGGCTTTTAGTGTTGGGTGTGTGTGTGTTGTTAGCCAGTTTTGGTCACCTTAGAAATTAATGTTTATTTTCTAGTAAGAGTGGTGGTTATTATTGTCTTGGACCCTGATGTTTGTTTGCTTCCTTAATCCTTCTAGTTAATTTTGAACGGTGTAGTTTATAACCTGATATCATGGCTCATATCAGGTTGTCTGCACAGACTGCACAGTTGGTGCCACCTGCATCTGCAGAGAGAGAACTTGAAGGTCAAGCTGAATATGTGCTGTGCAAGTCAAGTACCTGGGCCATGTGGTGTCTTTGCAGATGGGGTGGCCATAGATATAAACCAGAGCTGCCAGAGAATGCCAAGGAACTAAAATTATTCCTATATGTTGCCAACTACTATGGACTATTTGTTCCTGGGTTTTCTTACATTGCCTCCATGTTCAAGTCCTTAGTTGCAAAACTGACTCATTAAGTCAAGAGGCCAAAAAGGACCCAAATCCCATTGGATTTAGGCCTGCGACAAAGCTTTTCAGATGCTCACATCACTGTGCTGACCTGTGCACATTTTAACAAAACTTGTTACAGTAACAAATCATGATGGGAGCTGTCCTGTGACAGGACAGTGGGAAGGTACGATTCAACTACTGCTGTTGCTGGTCAGTCTCTGCAAAGCAGAGAGGAGTGTGCAGAACTACAGTTTTATTAGAACTTTCAGTCATTAAATGGGCTGTGAAAGATTTAGGGGGTACTTATTGGTCTAGAACTGCATATTAAAGTATGATGTAAATACTCTCTGTGATCTTAAAACAGTTCATTTTGAGGGCAAGTTCTGACCTGAGGCACATGTATAAACCACATCAGGCAAACACAGATACTGTGTGAATGGGACTGTAGCCTTTGGTCCCACATTTGTCCTTGCTGAGGAGCTTAAGTGCACAGTGTGTCAAGCAGCACCTGCCTCTCAAGACAGTATCACAGGCCATAACAAAGTTTTACCTTCCCAAGGAGACTAACTAATCTTGCAGACAGACTGGCTGATCCAAGAATTCACTTCTTTTGGGACAGGTGATGCAAACAAGGACGAGAGAGAGAAAACATCCTTGTCAAAACTGATAAACAATGAGACATACTGTTAAAAAGACGCTTCACTTTTGTATAGAGGTTATACAAGTGAAATCACCACAAGGGGACCTGTGTGAAATCAGCTGTTGCTGCTACAGCAACTGCTCACTCTTCATGATAATGATCACCACCGAGGGTTGGAGCGGACCCAGACCTGCTCAGAAGGAGGTGCTAGGTGCTTCAAGGTGCTTTACACTATAAGGTAAAGACCCTACAACAATACAGAGGAAACACCCCGACAATCAGATGATCGACCACATGAGCAACCATATGTCGACAGTATGAAGAAAAACCCTCTATTTTAACAGTAAGAAACCTCAGGCAGAACCAGGCCTAAGGTAGCAGTGACCGGTCCAAGGTAAAGAGGAGGAGGCAGGTCTAAAGACACACTGAGAGCTAGAGTTGAATGATAACCAATGATTAAATGCAGAGTGGTGAATAAACTGTTACGGAGTAAACATATATTCTTAGTGCTTATTTTCTGATTATATGTCTTTCTGTAGTTTAATAAAAAAAAGGCCTCTATAAAGCAAGGCCAGCTGTGAGAGAGAACTAGGTCAGAGGGTGACAGGTCGCCTTAGCAACAGAGGCTTAAGTTAGTGGAAGTTTAAGAAACAGGACGTTTAGTGCAGAGCTGCAGAGGCATATTAATAAAATACAGGAAACCAGACAGAAAAAGCAGAACTAGTAACACAGTTGTTTTTATCAAAACTATGTGTGACGTGTAAAGTATGGAACGCCAGGACTGCCATAATGAATTAATTAAATACACCATTAAATAATTAATTAAATGTGGCAATAATTAATTAAAATTGGAAATAATTAATTACATAAATATTTATGACACATGTAACTAATTAATTATTGACATATTTAATTAATTATTTAATGGTGTATTTAATTAATTCATTATGGCAGTCCTGGCATTCCATATAAAGGACCAAAATAACACTTATATGAGACACATTTTGGTTTCTAATGCTAGAGATTTTGCAACTGGCTTTGGGCTGTGCAGATCTCTCTTATCCGGAAGATGATTAAATAAAAAATTATAAATATTTTGACTAACTGAGTCGTGTTCTCTCTATTCAGTAAAAGAATGAAAAAGAATCAAATTTAATAAAACACAGTGATTGAAAAAGGTGAGTAAAGAAGAAATACTCATCATGGGAAGCCCCCACCAACCTCAGCCTCCTGCAGCATAAATAAGGAAGGATTTAAGGTCACCTGATCCAGCCGTAACGATACGCTTTATCCAAAAGTTAAGTTTTGAGCCTAATACTAAAAGTAGAGTATCTGTCTCCCAAATCCGAACTGGGAGATGGTTCTGCAGAAGAGGGGTCTGAAAACTGAAGACTCCCATTCTGCAATTAAATGCCCTACAATAGGAAGTAATCAGCGGTCTGGGTGTGAAGTGCACTATTAGGGTGATATGGTGCCAGTAAGATGAAGCCTGAATATTCAAGACCTCACATGTGAGGAGAAAGATTTTTACATTTAATTCTGGTTTTAATAACGAGCCATCGAATAGAAGGAATTATGGGAGAAATATTGTTGATACTTTCTGTTTATTGCTTTTCTTTTAACATTATAAAGTGGGGGTAGAGGCTAACAACAAAACAGAACATTAAAAAGAAAAATAATGACATTTAAAAAAGAAAAAATAAATAAAACTCGAGTTGGGTCACCATGTTTCTACAATTTGATCATTTCTCATTATCAATGTGATGCTCTTTATCCTGTCAGATGTATGTACTCAGTCCATTTCTCCCACTTGTGATGGTATTGACCTGAGTCCTTATTTTGTAAGTCCAAGTCCATGATTTATATTTCGTCCATAGTTTTGATCCATTCATCCTGCGATTCATCCCTAACCCTGCAATGGTGGGTTTGTCTTGTACCATTTTCTTGCGATTGCCTTTTTACAGGCTGCAAGCATAATTTTCAATATGTATCTGTCTTCTTTCATCACATTTCCCGTAATGACTCCAAAGTATAATAATGTACAAGACTTAGATACAGCATAACCCAGAATTTTACCTATAACTAAATGAACATCTTCCCAAAATTTTGCGATGTTGGGACAGAACCAGAAACATGGGAACGATTCACATTTACATCTCCACAGCCCCCCCAACACGGTTGTGGCAATGAAGTGTGTTTGTTCCTAATTCTGGGTGTTATAAAAAGTCTAATTACATTGTTCCAGCAGTGCAGTCTCCAGGCACGTGATGATGTTGTTGACTGCTGTGTTTTCCAGGTTTGTGACCGTTCCTCATCAAATATGTTCCCTCCCAACTCTCTCTGCCACTTCAGTTTTACATATGTTGTTGTACACCCTCTTGCCTGCATTACATGCTCGTAAATTATAGAGATTATTCTACATTTTTTTGCATTGTAGGCTTCAGTTATGGTTTTGATTATTGAATTTTTATCCAGATTTACACTATGTTTTACTTCTTCATTTAAAAAGTCCCTAATCTGCAAATATCTATAGTGATCTTGATTACTTAGAACAGCGGTCTCCAACCTTTTTTGCGCCATGGACCGGTTTATGCCCCACAATATTTTCACGGACCGGCCTTTAAGGAGTCGCGGATAAATACAACAAAATAAAACTAGTACCGGTACCGAAAAAAGAAGATTTATTCATAACACACGTGAAAAGACTCTTTTATCCTACTTAAATCCTTATTATTCATGAAAGAATAATCGATTCTAGCATACCTGTTGTGGGGGGGAGAATAGTGTGTATAGTCTCTTTTAAAGGGGTGAAACTCTCTCCATATATCAACTATATTCTTTAAATATTCTCTTGACCAGTCTCGTAACCTGGTTGGTATGTTTATTCTTATTAGTTGTATCTAGTTTACTGTTCATCACAATATTAAACTCACGCCCACATATTATTATTCCATCCATTTGTGAAACAATGGTATCGAATAATGTTTTAAAGAATTGTTTTGCACTATTAGGTGGAGCATACACATTAACTAGTGTGACCATTTTGTTTTCCAGTTTTCCTCTCACAATAATAAATCTCCTTCTTTATCACAATTTTTTTTAATATATTAAAATTTCACTGAAACGGAGATAAGTATAATCACACCTCTTCTACACCCATGAGGATATAAACTGTAAAATGCGTTAGCATATCCAAACCTCTTCAGTTTCTCACTTTCCAGACTAGACAGATGTGTTTCTTGTAGAAAAATAAACTGTGACTTATCTTTCTTTAATTTGGTCCTTACCTTCTGACGCTTCACAGGATTATTTAGACCATTAATATTCAACATCAGTATTTTAATATTATGATCAAATCATTTCTAATGAGTTTAAGCAGCAGTCCGGCTCTAAACATAAAAAACAACAACAACAGTTGAACACTGAACACTGTGACTTCAAAAAAGGTATAGTCCCTGTCGGTGGGAGGAGGGGTTTGTGCCTCACTACAGTGGGGGCCCTCCCTAGCTGTGAGAATAAACCCACAAAAACTAGAATTGTCCAACATTTGGTGGTTGCAACAAAACGCTCCCTCTTATCGGTTTTACTGATCTATAAACTTAAGTCGTGAGTCATTGTAACTCCGTTGATCCAGATTAGTGTATTAGGCTAATACTCTACAATACAAAAGTAAAACTTCCTAGGA